CAAATTTAATTTCATACATACAGGAGTCCCATAAAAATATGAGACCCAAAGGCAAGTCAGACTGATGAAGTTCTAGAATAAAAGTTAGGTTCGGTGGGGTGAGGTCCGAAGCCGATTCTTGAGACATCTTTGGTGCAAAATGGTGGTTTATTAAAGCACGGGGACAGAACCCGTGGGCAGAAAGAGCTGCTATCTGGGGGTTGTGAGGGGTGGCAGGTTATGTATGATGGGGTTGGGGGCGGTCAGGAAAAGGGAGGTTTCAATAGAACTTTCATAAACTAAAGAGGACTTACAAGAAACCAGATACCAGAGGACTTGCCATTTTCAAGGTTTTTTTCCTCTAGCAAGGTATTAACATTAAGATAGTTGGGAGATTCCTAAAGAATGCCACACATGTCCCACCCAGGAGTCGGGGTGGGGGAAGATTGCAGGGTGTAAGCTTTTGCTTTGTCCTCAGCCAGCCTTCTGTTCCCTCATCAAGACTTCTGTGCCTTCCTGAGCTAAGGGCTTCCAAGCAGGGGAGCGTAATTCTCAGGACAGTAGGAAGAGCAGATGTTTGGTAATTACAGATTTGGTCCTACAGATAAGTCAGTCATTCAGGTAAAAGTCAACCTCTGGTACAGCTTCCTCTCTGAGGCAGGACCCTCTCTAAATTCTTTTAGGTAGTGAAGGGAGAGATCAAAATTTTTCTTGACTCTGCTGTGTTTTGTGCCTTCAGCTTAAAATAATCCACATGCCAAAGTGGTAGATTTTACGGTCATATATTCTGTGCCCCTTCAAGCTTTTTATAATTTGTTGGTATAATGTTAAAGAGTAACAACTCTTTTTATCTGAGATATGTGCCACAGAAGCTGGTGTTAAGGCAAAAATTAACAGGTGTTTATAGATCCTGAGAAGGGCTAGAAGGTAATAATATAACATCTTCATTTAAACCAGCAGGATTTAAGGTTAAGATAGTATCATCTTGTAGTTTCCCCTCTTCCAGATTGCTGTCTACCTCCCAAACCCAGCATTCTTCTTTCGTACCCTGGTCTAGCACTGGAGGATAAGGAACACATAGAAAAAAAAAGGGGCGGGGTGTTGAGTGGAGGCAGAAAAATATTTTTAAAACTCTGTTTGGGTCTATAAGCATTTATTGATATATAGATAGATAGATATCTATCTATATATATATCAGTTATCCACTGACATAATAATTCTGTGTCGACAAAGCCAGTGGCTTAAAATAATGAGCATTTACTTAACACTCAGGATTTTGGTGGGCAATTCATTGTGGCTGGTTGTCCTCGTCTCAGCCGGGACCTTATGTGGGATTTGATGACTGAGAAGCCATGGAGGTGAACTTGAGGGAGGAAGTCACGATTAGCTCTGAATATTTGAACACAATCAACTGAGAAGGTGAACAATAATAGAAGATTTGGTGTTAGAAAAAGTAGTATTGGGTGTGAGGGAGCACAGGTTAGGGAATCTACTCTGGATAATCTTGATCTGTTGTTTGCCTAAAATCAGAAATTGTTAAAAATGCAGAGTTCGATAATGTAACATACCAAACTAATGTTAAAATATTATTTTCCTGTGCAACTGCAAATTATGAAGGGTCTACTCAAGTTGGGGGTGGGGATTGATCAACTAACATTTGCTTCCTCTTAATCCCTAGCATTTCTTTTTAAAATTTTCAGGTTTCTCTGTTTTTCTTCATTTTTCATTTGTGATACCATCTGTTGGTGAGAACATCCAAGGATCACAGTATTTTAGACCTGAAACCACTGAATTTAATTCTTATCGATAAAATAAGAAAACAAAGCTCCTTATAGACTTGTTACAAGCCATAAAACCAATGACTTGGAAGCCTGGGAATTGAACCCTTGGTTCCTATTCTAGCGCGCTCCTCAGTGCTTTGGTTTGGTTGTTGAAATGTTCTCTGGCTTCACAGGGAAAACAGTAGAGACTTTGCCTGAAATTGAAAATTATCAGTGATGGCATTTACGTAGTGCCTTCTTTAAAAGGCACTTACATATTCTTTAGCTTGTGATTGAAATGAATAGCTGAGAGAATCTGATAGAATAGCTGGATATTCTAGTTTTTTGGTCTCTTGGTCCGTAAAAAAGGGAATTCTATTTTTCCTCATAGAATTGTTGAAAGTGGTAAATAACTACAATTTGATCACTTAAATTTATATGTGGTACATATCAATTTTTTGGTATTTTTATTCTGTTAATGTTTTTGTTGTTCAGTTACAGAGCATGCATATATCATGGACTAAAGGGGAAAATTCCACTGTCTTAATTTTATTGTGAGTTGGGGAGGAGGAAGGAATACAGGGAATTCAGCTCTTGGAGTTCTTCCTGTATGAGCTTAAGACTCAGCCTCTGACCTAGTGTTTACCAAGAAAGGAGCCGTATCCTTTTGGCTTATTTTCTCTTTTAATATTGGTCAGCAACTAGAAGTAGAAATTTTGAAAGAGGTCATTTTTCAACCACTCCTCTCTGTATCATCTTGGACTTTCATGGCTTTGGGATGATACCTTTTAAGAGCAAATTATTTGGTGTTTGAAGGAGCTTAACTTCTTGAGGAAATGGAATTTGTTGTGGGGGAAGAATTTCTAAGCAAAGGGACACTTTATAAATATCACTCCCTGAAATAAACATCATTGTAAGCTTTCAGTGAAACAAAATGTGGACTTTCAGAATTTATCTAAGTTTAACATTAAACAAAATCCTAAACCCTGTGGTTTGTTGTTCTATAGAGAGGAGACCACTTCTAATGTTTTCCACGTTAAAATAAACTAGCAACGAGGGAACCTGAGAAATGGAGCTTCCAAAAGCAGACTAACCCAAGAAGCGCTTTTTCATTCCGAGTATTACAATTTCAGGCCTCTCCAACACTTTCTCGTTCCCACACTGCTGTTCCTTTCCTGCTGCCACTCACTTGCCTTGCATCCTGGAAAGGAATAGCAGAAATATCCAGGGTTGATCTTTGTCGAGTTATCCTGAAAATGATAGAAATAGTGGAGGCAGAGCAGAGAGAAGCCACTTGGCAGGGCTGTAACCTTTTGGGAATCATATAGATCTAGTTCACATTGAAGATCAGAGCCAAGGATTTCGATTCAGAGATATACACCACCACAAACATACACAAAATCTTGTGTATTGATTCAGGAAGTGGTGGACTCCCGGAAGCCTCTTTTGGTACTTAGTCATGTATCTGTGTTGTGAGAGCTGACAGCATCTCTGGCCTTCCCCTTGCCAAGCTTGAGAGCTAAGGAAAGGTTTAAGTGCAGTGCTTGGGGTTGGATCCAGTCCAGATTTTGCTAAAAGCGGACTTGTGGTTTTTTGAGCTCACCTCATTTTCTCTACTCATTAAGAACTCTGAAAGGTCTGATCCACAGCTTCCTCTTTATGAACCAGGAAGAGGAAACAGGAAGCAAGAAGAGAGACCTGCTTCTGAGTGACATTGTTGCCTCCTTACAGTACCATCTGGACACATTTAACTGTTGCAAAGTGGAGCAACCATATATATTTTATAAGCAGCCATGAAGATGGACACTTCTTTGTGATTTGAACCCACTGAGGCCTTACAAAGGGATATCTTGCCAGTAAAATATTCCCATTGTGTAAAGAGACCTCATTCAAGTGCAGCTTTTAAGAGATTTGAGAAGACGTTCTTCCAGGAGAAATTAAATAGAGTAAAAGAAAAAAAATGGAAAAGAGTAGGAAAAATAAGGATGAGGTGGGAAATGCTTGCTGGGTTACATGATTTGATTTGTTCCTTCACTCTGTAGTTTAAAATATAGACGTTTGCATGTAGGTGAAATGACGCTTTAGGTTTTTGCTTGGGAGTTGTTAAAGCTTTCTCTTGCTTTTCTTTCATTGTCTTTGTTTTTCTATTTAAGAGTATTTGTTTGAGAGTCAGAGAGAGTGAGAGAGAGAGCATGAGTGGGGTGAAGGGCAGTGGGAGAAGCAGACTTCCTGCTGAGCCGGTAGCCAGAGGATCCTGGACTCCAGGATCGTGACCTGAGCCGAAAGGAGACACTTAACCAACTAAGCCACCCAGGCACCCCTATTGTCTTTATCAAAGCCATGTGCCTCTTATGCAGAAATACACGGTTCCCATTTTGTACAAATCAGTGAGCTATGGCAGACACAGCATCCATATAAGTTCCTGCCCCTCTAGAAGTTGACATTCTTGTAACCTAGTTTGGTTCCAGAGGCCATAGGCTGATGAGACAATTGCCCATTACATATTGGTGAGCTCTGATCCCACCAGTGAGGTTTACTAACTTTGTTAGCTTGGGTAAGTTTCTTAACCTTGGGTGACTTGGATACTTTATTTTTTCAGGGCTAAGATACTTGCGAGATAGGGCACCTGGGTGGCCTGACTTCTGATTTCAGCTCAGGTCATGATCTCAGGGTCAAGGGATCAAGCCCCATTTTGAGCTCTGTGCTCAACAGGGAGTCTGTTTGGGATTTTCTTCCTCTGCCCCCATCCTCTCTAAAATAAATCTTTTTTAAAAAGGTATTTGTGTATTTTGTAGATTAAAGACATAGTATCTCAAATTAAATGCAGTAGGTAAACTCTTGTTTCTGATGATCCCTTGGACCACCAGTGTAACCACACAGTTACCAGAATTGCTGGGTTATTTGGCATAGATGGGGTAGTAATATTCACAGCTAACAGTGCTAGATCCTACTCCAAATATTATTTCATTTTACCCCACAATGTTTCTGTGGAGTAGGTACTACTATTATCCCCCCCCCCTTTTTTTTTTTGTAAGTGAGAAACATAGACGGGCAAAGAAGTTAAGAAACTTGCCCCAGGTCTTTCAGACAGTAAGCCGCTGGGAGACTGAAATCCAAGTGGTCTGGATTCAGGAGCCATGCTCTTAGCTCTGATCCTTTTTGACCTTTTTTCAAGCTACAGCGTATTCACAGTGAATGGAGAACATTATGTGTAGGGGACTCTAACACTTATTTAAGATCTTTTTTTCTCTCCTGTTCCAGGTATCTGACAGCAAGGAGCAATAGGCATTTCCTGCTTACCATGAGGCCATTCTTAAAAAGGGCCACTTTGGTCATAAGTTATGTAAGTATATGTATGCTTCTGAAATATCTGATAAGGAATATTTTACTTTCACTTGGCTCAGAGACATGATCCAGATTATTTAATAGAATCAGCAATAGATGCTAACAGCACGATCTTAGGATCAAAGAGTTTACATGCTGTCAATGTTACAAAGCTTTGGAAGGTATGCATGAAAACCTTCTCAGAGTACGTGAACTCAGTGACACGGACAGTATCAACTGTACTATTTTATGAGTCCCTTTCAAGATGCTGATTCTGAGTTGTCTCAGTGGTACAAACCGAGCTGTATCAGTTACGTATTGCTGCACAACAAACCACCCCCAAATGTAGTGGCTTAAAACAACCACCACATGTATTTGCCCTGAATGCTTTAGTTGGGCAGCGTCGAGCTAGGTGGTTCTAATGCTCCTTGTGATTTTTGACTGGGATTACACAAGCAGCTTCCTGTAGCTGTCCTTTGGGCTCGACTGTCTGTCTGTGCTTTCTCATTCCCTAGGGTCTCTCCCTGTGGCCTCACTCTAGCAGGGTAGCCAGGGCTTCCTTACAACATGGCAGCTGGTTCTAAAAGCATGAACCCAAAGTTGCAGGACCTCTCGGGGTAGGCCCAGAACTGACCACATTCTGTTGGTCAGTGCAAGTCACAAGATTAGCTCAGACTGAAGAGGAGGGGCAGTTGGCTTCCTTCTTGATGTGAAGAGCAGAAAGCACATGCAAAGGGGGGCAGGAATTCTTGGTTGCCATCTTTGGTGACTGTCACATTAATCACTTTCTTACAGTGCTGGATTCAGGAGACCATTCTCTTATGCTGTTGCCGTTCCCCATAAACTTGAATGGGGAACTTATGAAAAGTCTTTGAATTGTAATGTTACCAATTAACATGATTTTTTTTTCTTGACATTAAAACATGTTTATGGAAGAAGAGTATGCAGATCCGAATGACAGCAGAGAGTCTTGACTGGACAGTCTCAACAAAAGGGACAAAATATTTCTCTAAAGTATTCCCCATTATCTTTGCACAGAATTAGGATGATTCATCACTGATTTCAGAAGTGACTTATTTTCTTAGAGCTGTATGGGAATGCAAGTAATTTGACGTCATTGCTATGGGGAAAGTTGTCAGTTAATAATCATTTTGTTCTTCTAAAAATTTATTCTTAAAACCCTATCTTCTATTTATCTTCCTATTCCTTTTGTTTAATTATCACAGTTTTTTCCCTCTATACAAATACATGGTATTTTAGGGAATTTATATGCTTTGGGGATACTTTTCCTATTACTTTCATCATTGATATTTTCCATTATAATGTCTTTAAGAATTTAATTCAGTTTGAGCAGGACATTGTGTGAACATTAAGATGATTTTCAGTTGCTGCCTAGGCATTGTTTACTGTTGATATGCTTTTCGCTGACACCCTACATTTATTTTAGGTTTTTGGATTTGAGGTTATTTATATTAAAGTATTTATAAAGGAAGTCAGTGATATTCATGGAAAAGACAATCCAGCTTTAACTGCCTCCAAAATTAATCTTTTGGCTTTTTATTCAAGCAAATGTTTCCCTCTAACTTTAATAAAAAACAATGTAATTTTGTCCTATTGAAGTAAGAATCATCTGGAAGGCCTATGTGGATAAACACCCTTATAAGCAAAACTCATCCCCACGGAAATGTCTCTGCTTTTGGTTTTCTTATTCACCTTAGCAACAGGATAGCACCATTTAGTCGTAGAATTCTAGTGGGTGACACAAAAGATGTTCCTGGGATTTGTTGAAATAACCCTTCATGAATGTTCTGCTTCAGGGCATTCAAGGGTTGGAACACTTCAAATGTGTTTATTCAGAACACGGCAGTATTATTTATTATACTCTAAATTAACTTTCACAGGGCTGTGTAAATGGAATGGTTAAGAACATGGTTGGATAGTGACATGGATTCACCTCCTGGATCTTGCAGTTTATTAGCTATGGGATTCTGGATAAATTACCTCTAAACCTCAGCTTTCTCATCTACCTCTGGGGTTGCTGTGAGGCCGCAGGTGAGATGGAAAGTCTTTAGCACAGTGGATAACAGCTGGTAAATGCTTGCTACTGACAGCTGTAATTAAGAATTTGCTTGCCTCTCCCTCAACACCTTCATTATTTATACTCTTCTCCCTTCCCAGCTGTTTCCATCTTGCCTCCTCATCTTGAATCTTAGGACTTTATAGAAATGTTCATAGTGAAACAAAATAAAACATTTATAAAGTATCACAAGTGTCCTCCAGAAAGGTGGGGCTTGACACCCAATAAGCAATGATTTTCTTATCAAATCTTCTTTTCTTTGAAGGTGATTGTCATTTTGTACTTCCGTCTGTGGATTATGGGAGGATCTATGCCCCTCTTTTCAGAGCAGGATAATCCAGCTTCATTTTCGCCTTACATTCTTACGAGGTCAGTAAACATAATTTTTCCTTTTTTTAGCTTAACATGGTGTTTATTAAATCGTTTTAAATGATCTTAAATGACAGTTTGCCTTCACATTTTAAGGAAAGAAGGGTTGTATTCTGTCTAGGGCATGGGGAGAAAAGAAACTGCTATTCATACATTTGGAATTCTTTTCAACTGGTGGTGCTGTTTTGCCAGGGTTATTGCTGTTGTTCTCCTATTGGTATTATTAGCTTATCCAACAAGTACTTTATTGAGCACTTATTATCAATAATAAGTATCTCCTGAATGACAAGTGTTACAGAATGATGCACAGAGAAGCATTTAGAGGTTGATTGAGCATTAAAACTATTTGTAAAATACGTGGAGAGGTTCAAAGTGGAAAACAGAAATGAATAGTAGTTTTTGCTAAGGTATAGCTATTACTATTAGAGATACATACTATTTGTCCTTAGGAGATTTAGAGATACTGGGTCTGGTTCATTGAGAGGTTTTTAATTCCTTATCTGTTCAGTCTGCTGTGGGGTCCTGCTAAGGCTTTTAGATATAATTATATTTTATAATTTTTATAACTTTTCTTCAGGATATATTGTTGTGGGCCATCTGGGTGGCTCAGTCAGTTGAGTGTCTGCCTTCGGCTGTGGTCGTGATCCCGGGGTCCCAGGATCAAGCCCCGCATTGGGTGTCCTGCTCAGTGGGCAATCTGCTTCTCCATCTCCCTCTGTCCCTTTCCCCCTGCTCATGCTCTGGTTCTGTCTCTCTCTCTCTCAAATAAATAAAATCTTTTTTTAAAAAAAAGGATATATGTTGCGATTATGTTTACATATTAAGATGCACTGTATTAAGTTTTCATATTTTTGTATATACTTTTTCACACTTAAGATCATTTTTATAATAGTAACCTTCACTTTTTTGTTTTTGCAAAGATACAGTAAATCTTAAACCTTGACCTACTGCCCATTTTTATTTGGGCTTACTTATATCTCTTAGGGACAACACATTGTTGGATTTTGTTTCTATGCCAGGCAGTGATCTTTGCTTTATTTGACCCATGTATTTTATATGTTTTAACTGCTACATTTCTGTTTTCTTTGCCCTGTCTGTTTTTCTTTATTGTTCCTAGTCTTTTCTCCCCTTTCTTTTTTTAAAGGCAATTTCCCTTTCAAAAAAGATAACTTCTAATTTGGTTAGCCCAATATATCATGGCACAATTGTTTCCATTACTGCTGATGTATATTTCTGTTAATGAATCTTGGGGAACCTGGGTGGCTCAGTGCATTAAGCCTCTGTCTTCGGGCTCATGTCATGATCTCAGGGTCCTGGGATCAAGCCCTGCATTCGGCTCTCTGCTCGGCAGGGAGCCTGCTTCCCCCCCTCTCTCTGCTTGCCTCTCTGCCTACTTGTGATCTCTCTCTCAAAAAAAAAAAAAAAAAAATCTTAACTATGCCTTCAGAAATCATATGATACCCAGCCTTTTCAAGGTAGTCTAGACACTTATAAAACGTTTATACCTTATATTTTTCAAAATGTTGTTGTTTGATTAATCTTGACATCTCTAACCCAGTTTTTTGTTGATGATGCAATCTACTTGTCCTTTCTAGGTAACTCTCACTAGATCCTTGTCTGGATATTTTTAGCTCATTGATAAATTGTTTCAGGTTCTGTAGCTCCTTAAATAGCTACATTCACCTCCAGAACAGACTGTTCTGAACTCACCAACCAGTGATTTAATTAGTGTCTTTGTCATCAGTAAACAAGTGCCTTCCTGGTGGTGGTCCTTAGCATCTGGACAAGGTGCCTTTGGTCTCTAACTCACTGCCCTCTTATCTGCTAGGGGTTTCAGTTGCATTTTTATCTCTGCTAGTGGCAGAAAAAATTCTTTCGTGTAAAATTAGTACTTTAGACCAGGCATTTGCAAAGTTCTGCCTTTTACTTCCAAGGTTTATAGATCATTTTTCAGAGGGGTCTGAAACACATTTCATGTAGGACTTTCTGTCTGTGAATCCATCTATGTAACTATTCTCAGGTAATTTAATCAGTATAAAGTGACAGAATACAATATCCTAGCATGTTTATATTCCCCACCCCCACCCCACCCCCTTTTTTTAAAGCATAGCTTTCTGTGGCACCTGGGTAGCTCAGTTGGTTAGGTGTCTGCCTTTGGCTTAGGTCATCATCCCAGAGTCCTGGGATTAAGCCCTGCATCTGTCTCCTTGCTCAGCAAGGAGCCTTCTTCTCCCTCTCCCTCTGCCTGCTGCTCCCCCTGCTTGTGTTCTCTCCCTCTTTCTCTGTCAAATAAATAAATTATTTTATTTTTTTTTATTTTTAAGATTTTATTTATTCATGGGGTGGTAGGGGAAGAGAGAGAGAGCAGGAGGAGGAGCAGAGGGAGAGAGACAAGCAGACTCCAGGCTGAGCACTGAGCCCAATGTGGGGCTTGATCTCAGGACCCCGAGATCATGACCTGAGTGGAAAGCAAGAGTCGAACGCTTAATTGACTGAACCACCCAGGGGCCCCAATTAATTAATTTTAAAAAACATAGCTTTTTTCTTGGGGTGCCTGGGTGATGCAGTCAGTTAACTGTCCAACTCTTGTTTCTGTCCAACTCTTGTCCAACTCTTGTTTGTGGCTCAGGTCATGATCTCAAGGTCATGAGTTCAAGGCCCACATTGGGCTTCCTGCTCATCCCCACATCCCTCAAAACCCGTATCTTTCTGTTTCTGTGTTTCATGCTTAAAATACGAGGATACCCAGGGACATTTCAATGACAGTTGCTATAAATGGCTTTTCATATACCTCTAAGATAGCTGCATTATAATTGACTCTATTGAGCATCCAGAAAATTGTCTTTAATTTCTTTCTGAAGTCAGATTTCTACTCTGCTTGCATAATTATTTGACCTCCAGTAGGCTGATGATTCTTAAATTGGATTACCTTGGTCTGTTTCCTATTTTTATTGGTTTTTCTTTCCTTCTCATCAGCAATGCAATTTAGCTATGATTTGGCTGCCTCCATGAGCCTGTCATTACTAATCACAGGTTTGTCTTCCAGCTTATGTCAGTCTGCCTCATTGATGCTCCACCTCTTTTATTGGGTTTATAAATTCCCATTTTTGCTTCTGTCTTGCAAGTATTTAAAGTTGATGTAATAACTTCCTCTATTATCAGGTGAGAATTTTCAAACTAGCTCTCTCTTTCTTTAATAATTGTTATAGTTATTACTATATTGCAATAGTTATTATAGTTGTTAATATAAAATATTGCTATAGTTAGTACAGTTATTAATATGTAGTTTAAAAAAAACCTGGGGTGCCTGAGTGGCTCAGTGGGTTAAAGCCTCTGCCTTTGGCTCAGGTCATGGTCCCAGGGTCCTGGGATCGAGCCCCTCATCGGGCTCCCTGCTCAGCAGGGAGCCTGCTTCCCCCTCTCTCTCTGCCTGCCTCTCTGCCTGCTTATGATCTCTGTCTGTCAAATAAATAAATAAAATCTTTAAAAAATAAAAAATAAAAAAATCCTAACAGTTTTAAGAGTTACCTGGGCATGTTTTCCTTTGTTTCATTCAGGGGATTTCTTGGGGCTTTAGTTCTGAGATTTCTTCACTTTTAGATTGTTTCCATGTGGTTAGCTAGGAAGAAATACCCTGTCATTTTCTATTTACCAACACTGGGCTGCAAAATCATTGTGGTTTGCTCATGAAAATCCTTTGTTAAGAAAAATTATCAAAGACATGGGAATAAGACAACAAATGACTGTGTGACATTTACTCTAATGTAACAAACCTAGAAGAATACAACTTTGACTTATTTGTATCTATACTATTATATTTTACAACTCTGTCATCTTAGAACTTAACATACAGAAGAGGATAGGTGTGATTATTTCTTATTCTCTATAGTAGGAAATAAAACTTCAAATGTTACAGTTTTATTGTCTTGTAGGCAATAAATTGAACAAATTTGTGTCTAATTTACCAGTCTCATTCCTTTCTATTTTTTCATGAACTATGTAACCCCAGTTTTTCAAATTTAATTTGAGTATATTGACATATGTATACATTTGTATATATATTTATTCTATTTATATATATCTATATAATAGTTTTTATAGACATGTAATTTTCCTATTGTACAGTTTACCTGCTTAAACGTATACAATCCAATGGTTTTCTCTATACTTACATAATTGTGCAACCATCATCACAATGAATTTTAGAACATTTTTATCTCCCCAAAAAGAGATCTTATATCTGTTAGCAGTTACTCCCATTTTACCTCAGTCCTCCACTTCTAGATAACCATTGATCTACTTTTTGTCCCTGTTGAGTTACCGATTCTGGACATGTCAGATAGTGGACTCAAATACTGTATGGTCTTTTATGACAGGCCTCTTTCACTCAGCATAATGTGCTCAGGATTCATCCCAGTTGCAGCCTGTATTCATACTCCATTCTTTTCTCATTCCCCAGTAATACGCCAAAAGTGGCTGTACCACTTTCTACTTTTCCTTTCCTCTGTTGATGTCTGCTCCAACTATGAACATTCATAGTTTTTGTGTGACTGTAGGTTTTCATTTCTCTTGCTCATGTACCTAGGGGTGGGATGGCCAGTGTCAGATGTTGACTGTGTTTCACTTTGTGAGGAACTGCCTGGCTACTTCCTGGGGCAGCCGCACCATTTCACACGGCCAGCAGCAGTATTTGAGGGCCCAGTTTCTCCACATCCTCACCAACACTTGTCTTTTTGGACAATCTTTCTGGTATTTGAATTACAGCCATACGAGTGGCTATGAATTGGTATTTCACTGGTTTTGATTTGCATTTCTCTAAATGCTAATGGTGTTGAACATCTTTTCATCTGCATATTGGCCACTTCTTTACCTTCTTCAGAAAAAACGTCTATTCAGATTCTTTGACCAGTTTTTAATTATTTTTATTATCAAGAGGTTTTATTGTTTTATTATTGAGTCTTTTTATTATTGAGTTGTAATAGTTCTCTATATATTCTAGA